TTCATATATATATATATATATATATATATATATATATATATTATATAATACATGGATATATATATTTTATCAATACATGTTAGCATCTTTAATGGAATATTCTGCTGGAAAATGGGATGAACGAGTGCTTGAGTATGTTGAACAACTGTTTAAGAAAATTCGGTGGTTTGGCGTAAGCAATAACCCCTTTTGAATAACTTATCTTAAGTTTGATCTGGTTAGGCCTATTTATCCAAATCGAATATGTTTTGATCATATAATTAAGAAAAGCCGTTAACTTATTTAAGTTTTCGCGGTTGATAGATTATTGGCTAATTTGTTTGTTAGCTATCACAAAGTGCTCGATTTTTATTTTTTTTCATTTGTAAATATGAAGATGTTCTTCAAGATGTGAATTGACATCTATTGTTCATTTGTTTTGCATTGTTTGTTCTCTGTGATAACAGGTTTTGATTTTTTCTATATGGACCAAGATTTTGGACATAATGGATTACTATTTCAGTGAATAATATAAATATTATATATTTGTTATATGGAATCATGGTATGTTTCCTCTTGAAGAAGATTCATGGTTTGTTTCCTCTTGAAACCTTTTCCATCGTGTGCTAATTTAATACATTTGCAGTCTAGGAGGATTAATGTATTCATTACACACTACGATTGTTGATAGCCTTATTCTATCAAAATTAATGAGATTTTGAATAAAGCAAACTGATAAAACCTCAAAGCTCTTAATCTCTTGATCTTCTGAAAAACCAAGTTGCTCCAAATCCTCCATTTGTAATTAACTGTCATTTACAAGTTCTTATGGAGAATCTTTGGTGTCTGCACTTGTTGATCGGATGTTCTTTCATTCTCTTTAGTAAGCTTTACTGTGTGTTAATCATTTGTTTTTGTTATTCTTGCAGAATGATGCTGATGGCACCATGTTACATGCTTTTGAAGACTGAAGTTGGTTGGTATCGTGTTTTTATGAAGGTTAATGATCATGTTTTTATTTACCTTTTGAATAGTTAAGTAATTTTTTGAATCATCTCTTGCAGGTATGTTCTAAAGAAAATTTCAGACACCTTGTACTTTTACCTCTCGAGGGGTATCTGAAAGAAAGAATTTTATGGAGGACATATCTCTATATATTTCCCATTCTAGGGCACAACAATACTATAATTCATAACAAGAAACAACTTTCAGACACCTTGTACTTGTAAAATTGTCTCAATGTGGCCCTCGCCGTTAGTTTTCAGACCTTTGACCTTTAACACCATTTGATCTAAGTCTGAAAATTACAAAAAAAAACCATCCCTCTCAATTTAAAGAATTATTAAAAAAATAAAATAATAATAATAAAAAAAATAATAAAAAATTCAACACAACGAAAAAAAATAGTCCACGACTACAGCCAATTTTTTTATTTTTTATTTTTTTTAATAACTATTTAAACTTGGAGGGGTGGTTGTTTTGAAATTTTTAGACTTAGATCAAACGGTTAAGGTCAAAGGATTGAAAACTAACGGCGAGGGTCACATTGAGACAATTTTAGAAGTACAAGGGGGCAAATCGATGCAATCAAGAGTAGAATAGGGTAAAGTGATACCGAGCCAAAATACAAGTGGGAAAAGTGAAATTTAGTCATTTACCCATAGAATTGAAGTACAAAAGATTAAAATTACAAACTTACACAAGTAACATGTTCCGAAAATTAAATTAAAAAAAAAATTGAAAAAAAAAAGTTGAAAGATTTATTATTAGTACAAAAAACAAGTATAAAGAAGGAACCCAAATTAGGTTTGGATCCCCCCACGTAACCACCACCAAACCCCAAAATTCGGCCACCCACTTTTCTTTTTCTTTTTCTGTTTAGTTTTTTTTATTCTAAGTTATGAGTCCTAATTAAGGTGAAATTAGGTTTCTCCTTATTCCCTATGTATATATATAAAACAATTAAACTCCTTTTCAAACCATTCAATTTCTCACCAAGCTCATTCTCAATTTGTCGATTTTCGTCGTCGCTCAGGTATGAATATAGATATATATTTCACATATATATTTCCCTATGTATATATATTTCTTGCACAAACCGAGAATTAATGTCATAGGCCTAATCCTCTTTTTTAGGACATGCATTTTTTTGCATCTTTTTCAATTTTTTGTTGTGGTTTTAGCTCTAACTGTTATTCTATAAAAATCACAGGAGCGAAGATATGATTTGTAAGATGTGGAAGATGTTGATTTCGTCGTTTGGTGGTGAATCGAGACCACTAATTATTCGCTATTATTGTCACGAACATCTGAGGGTTTCCATTATCGATGGGAATTCTGAAAAAGAGTGTCGGTCGAGGGCCCTCGAGTCGGTAAAGTTTGGTTATGTTGTTGGTTCTTGCAATGGATTAATCTTGCTGTCAAAAACGGGTATGGATCTCTATGATAGGGAAAACCGGTGGAATAAACATGTTGTTTTGAATCCTAATTCCAAAAATAGAGGAGTCACAATAATCAATGGTCCTTCCGGGGGAGGTACTTTGTGCGGGTTTTTCTTCCATCCTAAGGCAAAAGAATGTAGAATTCTTAGTGTAAGACAATCTAACAACAATCAGTTTGAGTATCATCTTTACCTATTTGGAGAAAAGAGATGGAGAAGTACTAAGAAGCCGTATTTTTCTTACCGACCGGATATTCGGCAAAGGTCGTTGAACTTTGAAACAAGGATTGATGACCGTCCAGCTATTGCGAATGATGCGCTTCATTGGTGCATCAGTATGGTTGGTGAAATCATGGTGTTTAACATGGTTACTGAAGATTTCTCGACCAAACCCTGTCCTGTCGTCGTTGACAAAGGAGGCTGCCATTTGCAACATCTTTCGGTGAAAGACAACCAATTGTGTTTTTGCTATGTGGATCGTAAAGATCAATCCATGGACATCTGGATTCTCGAGAATTATACAAAGTGGTCTTGGGTTAGAAAGTATGTTGTTCATCTTGATTGGGACCTCAACAAGTATGCACCGGGAGAAAACTTTCTGACTGCGGATTTCTTCCTTGGTGTAAAAGTTATTTGCATTCAAAATAATGAGTTGGTGTTGTTCTGGGTACATAGAGGAATGTTTTCCTATCGTTTAGACAAAAATACAGTTAAGAGAATTCGATTGAGAAAGTCTCATATGGATTCGCTAATGCGAGATTATGATTGGTTATGTGGCTTTCAGGCTTATCATCCATTCCAATCAATCAATGAACGTGAGTCTAAGCGGGAGATAGTCTAAGTGGGAGATAAGTGGGAGATTGTTAACATAGTAGACTAAAAGTCTTGCTGTTATCTATGAGTAATTTATTTTGAATAAAGTTTATTCATTTAAATCATTTGCTGTTATCTATGAGTAATTTATTTTGAATAAAGTTTATTCATTTAAATCATTTGCGAGAATCAATGCACGTGTCTTTCAACTACTTTTAATTAGCTTGCAGTTGCACGTATCTAGTTAGTTATTTTATTAATTTTTTGATGGGTTTCATTTTTTTTAAACCCTTTAAATAAATATATAAATTTAAAATATTTAAATATTAAAAGAAACTAGTAACCATACCCCTGTGAATATTAAAAGAAACTAGTAACCATACCCCTGTAAAATATTTAAATATTACTTTATTATTTTATTGTACCATATATTTTTCCATCCTACAATAAATTTATATACGGGGTGTCAATATATAAAATATATGTGAAACAATAATACAAATTTAACTAAGGGATAGCTATTTCAAATACCAATTGGTTCTCACTTCAATACCACCTAAATAAAAAATATATTATAAATAGGTAATGACATTAATACACTTAATAAGATCAAAACCACACAAACATAAAAAATCACATTTTTTTTTAATATTACATACACAAAATCTCATTTTTCTTTTGATAAAATAATATATATCTCACTTATTTTGTGGTTTCTTCGACACGTATGTATCGCATAATGTGGAAAAAAAAATAATCAAAAGAGAAGAAAACAATAGACCTCCTAAAAAATAAATAAAGCATTATGTAAAGAAAAAAATAATAATCGGGTAATTTATGACATGAACAAAAACAAAATATAGTATGATGAAAATAGAGGCATTCCACTAATTGCAATCATGAGGTATATAATTATTTTATCAACAACTTTGGAGCAAAACTTAAGGTTTGGTTTTTGAAATTCCAAAAGAGAAGAAAATAGCTATTTAAATAAAAAAAAATGAAATATCAAGAAGAGATATTTCTAAGAACATTCATCTTACATGCTGAAGAAAATGAGTTGAAAAAACAAATACTTGACTGGTGCAGGCAGTGGCTTCCTGGTGGCTTTAACAATAGTTGGAAATACATAGGCGTTGTATTATACAATGAAGATAGGAAGAAAAAAACGAAGAAAAAATATATCATGGAAAAAAAATAGAGAAGCTTTTCCTCGCCGCTACGTCCTAATTAGTGAGTCTCTCGATTGATTTTCCTTCTTCTAGCTACTCAGACATACATAAGTTAACCCTAAAAACAAAAAAAAAAAAAAAAAACGAAACCTATTGTAGATGGACAAACGAAAGGTGTATCATACAATGAGAAACGAAAAAAAAAAAACTTATCTTAACAAACGTTCTACGCAAATAGTGTAGCAGACAGCTAACCGAGAAGAAGAAAAAGGGGAAAAAAAGAAAAAGAAAAAAGAACTTATGAAGAAAATTGTAGCCTCTTATTTAAGAAAGCATCCAAGAAAGCAAGTAAAATTTGTGATATTGAATTTTTTTTTTCTCAGATTGACAGAATATATAAATCCATAACAAATACTAATAAAATAACATATACAATTTTTTTAATAAAATGCGGTATAAAAGATTAGTGCAATGCATTGACCACTTTACGTGTACCAAACACAAACACACATAAATTGCATCGGACAGATAGACTCCAACACACATTTTTTTTTCCTAAATGTTAGATCGAACAAAAGAAAATAAAAAATAAAAAATAATGGTTTTTAGCAAAAAAATAAAATAAAAAATAATGGTTTATGTATATATAAGAATGTCATGATGCTGACCTCCTCCGCTCAAGCAAATAGGAGGATTACTTGTCTTCTTGAACCCTAGCCTTCAAGATTGCAGTCATCTCCATCTAATTATCAAATACAAATAAATGGTAAAAACAGGCATAAAAAAAACTAATTAAAAAGCTAGGCGAGGTAATTCCAATGATAGTAGAAAATTCAGTAAAAACAGGCCACATGAAGCGCCGAAAATAATGCTAACACATGTCACGGTTGTTTAAAAACATTAAAACATAGTTCTCCTCATTTTTGTTTTGCCTGTTGTATGAGGGAAAACATAGAATTCTTCTTCGCTAACAATATTTATTGTCTTGAGTGAAGCGCAAGAGACGGATTTACAGAATAAAACTGCAATTTTGTTAACAGAAACAAAAGAACAAAATTTCGCAGAGCAGATAGATATTTTCGCATAGTCCTAATGACCCACCAAAGGTTTTTCGGAAAAGAACAAAATAATGCAAACCATTAAACAAAATTTCGAGTAGCAGAGATATTTTTCTGGTAAAAGAATAGCATAAAATCAGGTCTATGCTAAAGAATTTTTCAGAAAAGAGCAAAGTCGCTTTTTGCCAAAAACTTAAATATTTAAATGTTAGGAATGAAGTAAAAAACAATGAACTTGATGGAATCCAATATAAACAACAACATTGATTACGCGAACTAACCGAAACCAATATAAGTATATCGGAAAAAGATTTTCATTTCTTTGTAAAAAGAAAACGTTTTGAACGGATAACAGTTTTAAAAAACGAAAGCTGTAATTTTTAACACATAACTGAACAAAAATTCGCAGAGCTTCGAAATTCCCAAAATTTTTTTTCGTAAAAACAGACTGCATTTCTTTAAACACAGAAGCCCAAAGCAAAGAAAAGAAGTTTGTACTATTACATACTCGCAGAAATACATTTTCGGAAAAAAAAGTTTTTTTTTTTTCATACTATTACATATCCATCAATTGATTTTTTCGAAAAACAACGGAATGACGCAAACAATAGAACAAACTTTAGGAGGAACTTTAAATACATTACATATAACGTCAAGAAAACTGGTTCCTAGAATTTCATTGCGGTTGAGTTATGAAGCATTAGTCATCTCTTATTTCCATTTTCACTTACAACAAGATGAACTATTGAAGCTCCGATAGAACGTACTAAAGGCTAAAGCAAAGATGCAAGTAAATAGAGTAGCAAAGAATTTCATAAGAAGAAGCTTGAATGCAAAACCAACCTCTCGACCCACTAAGTTGTGTGGCAATTGTCAATTTACCCGACTAATTTGTTACAAGAGATGAAATTCAGAAGTAGATCTACAATAACTAAAACAATTTTTTGCACGACTACTACAAAGAATCAATCATAAAAAATTACATCCATAATATACCAAGTAATCAAGAATTCTCAAATAAACAATTACCAGAAGCAGAGATTGGTCTTTGACGGCACAATCCATAATATGTATTGATGCTATGCTGCAATGGAAGAAGAGCCGTAAAGAGAATCCAAACCATGGCAGTTTCCATTGTTTGACCGGCGGAAACAAAAATTGAAAAGAAGAGTTGTGGAAACGTGCAGAAATTGATAATGGTGGCGAACAGATCCATTAATCTAACATAGCAAAGTTGCGAAAACTAAACTGAAAAATTAGACGCATTCAAAAGAATGAGTTGGTGTTGTTCTGGAAACATAGAGGAATGTTTTCCTATCGTTTAGACAAAATATGATTGGTTATGTGGCTTTCAGGCTTATCATCCATTCCAATCAATCAATGAACGTGAGTCTAAGTGGGAGATTGTTAGCATAGTAGACTAAAAGTCTCGCTTTTATCTATATAAATAATTTATTTTGAATAAAGTTTGTTCATTTCAGTCATTTGCTAGAATCAATGCACGTGTCTTTCAACTTTTAATTAGCTTGCAGTTGCACGTGTCTAGTTAGTTATTTTATTAATTTTCTGATGGGTTTCATTTTTTTTAAACCCTTTTAATAAATAAATAAATTTAAAATATTTAAATATTAAAAAAATATATTTTAAATGAAGAAAGTGGATTTTGTTTAAAAGTTACCAAAAAGAAGCTACTTCAAAAGTAGTCAATAAAAAAAGGTTAATAACACTTTGCCCCCCAAACTATCGGGCGATTTGCACGTTACCCCCAAACAATATTTTGTTACAAACTTTTACCTGAACTTGTCAAATTGTTGACGGTGCCTTAAATTTTCTATTTCTGTTCATTTTTTTGCGGGAATGTCTGCACGCGCATAGCATGTGAGTTTTTTTAAGGTACAAAAGTCCATTCACTTGAAATGTTACCATAGCCCCTGTACTTCTATTTTTCCCTTCCTCTTATTTTTTTTTCCTTCGTCACTTCATACTTCTCTGCCAATTCCTGCCTTGCGAGCTAGCGGCGGCCCGTCGCTCACACACATCCCGCTGAATTTCCAGCGGATCTCTCCACTGCGTATATTTGCCCCACGGCCGCCGCCTCACCCCTCTGTAGTACCGCTGCTCCTCTTCCACCATCGAGTTCGTCTCACTAAAATTGATCCACTAAAACATCTCTTCGACGTTGGCGCCGGCACTTCAATAACCGAATTTTGCTTAAAATTAATAAAATAATCTGAAATCGAAAGCCAATGATTGCTCAGTTCCTCGGATTCAAAATAGGAAACCTATGAAGCGAAGCTGTTGGTAGTGATGGCGCATCCATTATCGAGGTCACAAGGAGATAATTCTCCTTAAAGATACATACAAATTCTTTCAATGGCTGACACTTCAGTTAGTTCGACAGCTAAACTCGCTACTAGATTTTAGAGAGCGGAAACGTAGGGGTAGGGTTCAATTTAAAGTGAATAGACATTTATACCCTCCAAAAACTCATATGATACGCACGTGCAGACGATTCCGACAAGAAATACATGGGAATAGCAAATTTAAGGCAACCTGTAACAATTTTACGAGTTGAGGTAAAAGTTTGTAAAAAAAAATTATCCATGGGGTAACATGCAAAATGCACGATAGTTTGGGGGGCAAAGTGCCATTAACCCATAAAAAAGAGAAAATTAGCAAGAACCCCACATATAGGAAATGTGGTTGACATAACCCCCTCCCAATAATAATTAGAGAAAATCCCCTTAGGTTTATTTCGAACAAAATGAATTTATAATAATTCCCAAACTACCATTATAAAGCCCACACATACCCCAACCCTAATTTTTTTTCATTTTTCATTCTCTCTTCCATTCTCTTCACTACCAGAAACATCAGCGGCGGGGGGAAACCATGTCTCAAGTCATCGGCGACGGAGACATGAAGACCACGGCAGCGGCGGCGGAA